CCTGTCTACCTGGGATGGCGGCCAAAGTCACTGGACTGGCACAAGAAACGGCTTATCCTCAGTGAGTGGGAAGGATGAATGATCCTATCAGTTAGCTCTAGGGGGTGTGTGTGTGTGTGTGTGTGTGTGTGTGTGTGTGTGTGTGTGTAGGGTAGGGGACATCCTGCCAGGAGGCTACAAATTGAGCGATGTGACCTCCAGTGGTCACAAGCCAGCTCTTTCAGCACCACCCCCAACTTGGCCCAAGCCTCAGAACGAACGACGGAAGACAAGAACATCAGAGGATCAGCGGCTACTATTTCCCAAGCACTTACTTTAACAGGCCAGGCTTGGAACAGGCTCCCCATGGAGGGTTTTAAGTCTAGTCACCCACAGAACCCTCAAGGCAAGCACTGTTTATCTCAATGATGGGGAAACTGGGGCTCCAAAAGGTAATCAAGCCTACCGAGGTCACTGAGTAAATGGCCAAGCCGGGATATGACCTCAGTTCTGGGGGACCCCAAGGCTTGGCATTTACCTGCAGGAAAGTCAAAAGCAGCCTCTGCTGCCCCGACTGAGGAAGAGTGGCAGGTGCCAGGTAATGACACCCACCCCAAGACAGCTTCACTCCAGGGATGGATCCAGATCCAGCCCAACCATACCCCATCCTTCCTCCTGGCACGACCCAGGGCTGAATGAGAGAAGCCTCCACCTCTTCTCTGTGACGACAAGACCATGGCAATGTCCCCCCACCACGTGGACACTCCTAATGTCGTCCCAACCTGGGAAAGTCACCTCTCCTGCCCTGTAACCTTGGGCAGTAACCTCCTCATTCCACCCCCACCAGGGCACTCACAACCTCTCAGCTTGGATGCCCACGCTTTCCATCCCGGACACCTTCTCCCCTGCCCTGAACCACCCCGTAAATGACTCTAGCCTGAGCACCCTTCATGCCGCCTTGACCCCAGCAATGTCCCCTCTGCCCAGTCTCCGTTCATTCCACACCGGTGGGACACCTCAGCAGTCTGACCAGGACCGGCACTGAGCACTCCCACGCTGGACCTCAGCAATACCCCCTTCTTCAGAATCTGCTCTTTCCATCCCAGACAATTCCTTGCGCATGCCCTGGTCAGGCCCCTTCCTCTCTTGCCCCGACCCCCGGAATATCCCTGAGGGTCGTCCAGGTGCCCACTGCCGCCGCCTTCCACAGCCCGCGCACCCGGTCCTTCCATCCCAGTACTTGCCCAGCGCGGGTCCAGTACCTGCGCCCCTGCTCCGATCTCTGCAATGTTCCAGGCCCGGGCATCTTCCCACTGACCGGGTACCTTCCGTTCCACCTCTCGCGCCGCCCACGGCCCGAGTACCTGCTCTTTCCAACGCTGGCCCTTCTAGTCCGGCTGAGCTGGGACACCTGCAACCCTACCCAGTTCCCCGCTCAGGGACGGCTCCCGCCCGCTGCAAGCCTCAGACCCGGACCATGCCGCGCCGCCCGCCTGCTCCGCGGGCTCAGCCCGGACCGCCGCCACTCACCCAGGATCCCATCGCTGCGGAAGGACAGCGTCTCCTTCCCCGGCGCCCGCGCAACCAACCTCGGGGCCACGGGGGGCGTTGCCTCACGCAGGGCCAACCTTTCTTTGGCCAATGAGTGTCGCCGAACTCCTCTGCACCGCCCCGGCCTCTGTGCAATTGGGTGGGTCACGTGACCAATATTATCTCACCCTCCCTTCTCCCTCTGTTCCTCCCCCTAAGTGCGGTTGAGGCGCGGAAGTGATTTTTTTTCTCTCCTGTGATTGGCCATCGAGATTAGATTGACCCGGGTGGCTGAGTGAGGCGGGGCCACTCTTAAAGGGATGAGGCGGAGCAAACAGGTTTCGAAGGCGCTTTGTGGAAGGAATTGCTGGTGGTCTGAGCTCTCACCTTTGGTTCCTCTGCCTCCACTGGTGCCCACACGGACAAGTTCTTCCCGCCCTTCGAGCGCCCACTTTCCAACGCCACCGCCTCTAACTTCCTACAGCATCCTCCTGAGCACTTGCCACTCTCCACTTTCTGGGGTTGTTTGCAGGAGTGCCACGCCTCCCCTACGAGACGTCGTCTCCCTAAGAGTTGGCGTCAAGTGATTCGGTTCACTGTGCCTTGCACTAAACACTGGGTTTGGAATCAGGCCTCCCTGAGTTGGAATCAAGCTCTGACACATCAGCTTTGTGGGGTTTACTCAGTTTACCCCTCTGTAAAATGGGAATGGAATTCTTGCCTTGCCTGAGTAACAGGGCTTTGGTGCTGATCATAAGAAAACAGTGTGGCAGCCCTTTCATAACCAAAGAACTGGACACATCTAAGTTTTTTTAGCGTAATTATCAGTAAGGTCACATTCTTTCATTCATCAACAACTAATATTTCTGTGTGCCAGCCCTTTGGCTGGACTTGGGAGTGCAGTGGTGGACAAGATACATATAATTAAGATACTTAATTACAATCTTACGTGATATTGCTCTAATGGTGGAAACTCAGGAATATGGGGATTCCCAGGGACACCTGCGCTCCCATGGGGAGGTGAGAGACTCCCGAAAGAAAGTGACGTCCAAACAGAAACCTAAGGATGACTAAGAGTCAGCTGGGCAGAGAGAAGAGGAAGGAGTGTTCAGGAACAGCATGGGCTGTGTGGTCCAGAGGCAAGAGCAAACTTGGCATGTTGTTTGTTTTTTTTTTTTTTTTGGTCATACCCCACATCATGCGGGATCTTGATTCCCCGACCAGGGATCGAACCTGTGCCCCCTGCAGTGGAAGCACAGAGTCTTAACCACTGGACCACCAGGGAAGTCCCCAAACCTGGCATCTTTGACTCAAGGTGGCAGAGAGAGAGGAGAGTGGTAGCTGATGAACCAAGGAAGTGGCAGCCAGAGCAAAGGAGAGCAGGCTCCACCATTGAACTGCCTGTGTCTGGGGCCAAATCCACTGCTTCCTCCCCTGTGTCCTTGGGCAAATCACTTAACTTCTCTAAACCTTAGCTTCCTAAAATGAGGAGAATGATGGTTTCTGAGCTTTTACGAGGACCTTAAGTGATTATTCACTTAAAAGTGCTCAGTGCTGGGCCTGGCGTGGTCTTAGGACATTTTGGCCATTGCTGTTAGAAAAACTGCAATAGCTAAGTAGAAAGCTAGATAAATCGATGCAACATACGGACTGGGACAGCTACAAGGTCGGGAGTAACTAGGACCTACTGTCTCCCTCTCTCTCTCTCTCTCTCTCTCTCTCTCTCTCTCCTTTACCCTGCTGTTTTTCTTCCCAGGATCTGACCTGTTATATATCTGTTTATCCAAGAGGGGAAGAGCCTTGTTTTGTTCACTGCTGCATCCATGGCACCTAGAACAGCCCCTGGCACATAGTTGGTGCCGATAAGGTCTTTCTCCTTGACCAAACCAGAGTCAGGCTCCTGTGAGCCAGCCCTCTGCTTGACTAGGTGCAACCTTGAGTTTCCATCTTGTAGAGTCCAGTTTTAACAAGAATTCTGCAGGGTCAGTTTAGTAAAATCCCCAACCCTGGGTATCTGATCACCCTCCATATTTGATCAAATTCTTCATCCTCCATCCTCAATATCTTATCCCCCTAGCCTGCCCTCCGCAAGAATCTCACTAGCCTTGACGTTCCCACTTAGTCATTTTCCATCCCCTGACATCCCCACTCTGCTCATTGTCTATAAATCTCCACTTGTCCTTGTTGTATTTGGAGTTGAGACCAATCTCTCTCCCCTACTGCAACAGCCCGCCCCCTGCACTAGGCTCTCTTGAATAAAGTCTTCCTTACAGTCCTTAGTAAGTATCATGAATGTTTTTTTCTTTAACCTTGCTCAATGTGGTTATTGAATGAATGAACATGTAACTACATTGATTTATGGCTCTTGAAAGATGATATGATTGTATGCTGGCTAAATAAATGATATAGTTAGCTACAGACAGACACTGGTAAATAAGTCAGTGATCAATACAAATAGAAATACGTAGTGAACACATAGAAACACACAAAGAAACACATAGAGATGATGAACTGCAGGTGTGTGAGTGACACAAAAGTTGATGATGGCTCCATGTAGATAATAATGCAGATCAGTAGTTCTGAACCTGTGGTGCACATTTAAGTCACCTGGAAGCTTTTCAAGACTCCACCTGCCGGGCTCCACCTGAACTGAGAGAACCAGGGCTGGGAGTGGGCCCAGGGATTTTTTCATAAACCTCCAGATGACTTGAAGCTCACTCCGGACAGACAGGCTGGGATAGAAGATGGGGAACTGGTATAAGTGCAGGGAGATAATCGAAGCCAGGAATCCAGAGGACCGAGCCAGAGAGGAAAGGGTACCAGTTCAGGAACAGAGCTCTCCACTGGGTAAGAAGATGGAGTTTAGAGGTAGAGAGTGGGGAGCAGTGGAAACAGGTAATAAGCCCCTTCCAAGCCCCATGGGAGGGGGGGAAATGTATGTGCAGGCCATCCTTTTGCCTGTTTGGGGCTGTGAGAAGCTGGTTCAAGGTCAGCACGTGTCCAGGCCTGGAGGGTAGCACGTTCCTCCACCTGGGCTGAAAGGAAGCCCCTCTTTCTCTTCTCCTTCCTTCCCCTTAACTCCTGCACACACCCTCACCCAACTTTGGAGAACCAGAGGGTTTCCGGGGGCCAAACAGCCATTCCCCAGCGGTGGAGGACCAGTCCCCAGCTGGCCTATCCCCTGGCTCAATTGTCCTTAGTGTCACCAAGGTTGGGGCAGAAGAGGAGGGGGGGGCTAGAGAGGTCAAGGCGGTGGTGATGGTCGACACAGAAAGATCCAGGTCAAAAGACGCTGAGAAATAGGGAGCCAGAGGGCCCAGCAGGCCAGGAGGATGCGAATCGACAAAGGGAAGAGGCACAAATGGGCGGGGGCCATAGGACGAGGAAGCGAGAGGCCGGCCCGGCGGCGGCCGCAGGGGGCAGCCGCGAGCAGCCTCAAGCCGGGCCCCTCCGCCCCGCCCCGCCCCGCCCCGCCCCCCGGAGGCTCCTCCCCCGCGGCCGGCGCCCCTCCCTGCGCTCTCGGGCAAGCTTGACGGAGGCGGCTGGGGCTGGGCCAGGCGGGCGCGCTAAGGGCCAGAGCACCGGCAGCAGGTGGGCGCGGTGCGGACTGGCGGCGGCGGGCCGGGGGCTGCCGGGCGGCGCACGGGCCGGACGTGGCCGGCCGTGCGGAGCGCCATGGACTTCAACATGAAGAAGCTGGCGTCGGACGCGGGCATCTTCTTCACCCGGGCCGTGCAGGTGAGGCCGTACACCCTGGGCCCCGCGCGGCCGGCGGGCACCCCTGCAGCAGAGCCCGGGGCCGCGGGAGAAGGCCCTCGCGGCCGCCGCTCCTTCCCCGCTGCGGAGTCGCCCTAGCCGCCCCCCCAGCCCCTCCTCCTTTTGCGGTGCCCAGTAGAGAGAAAGAGCCCGGGGCGGCCGGCCACACTGGCCGCACCCTCAGCGTGGCCCAGGCCCGGGGAGTGAGCCGGGCCTGCCTCGGCCCTGCTGCCGCGGGGGAGGTGTCAGCCTCCACCATTTCGACCCGCCGGCCGGGTAGTCCCGCTGTCCTGGCGCCCGCCCCGCCCCCGGTGGGGGGCTCCGCTGAGGGCAGAGGGCCCCAGGCGGTTCCTGTCTCCTTGCCCTTGCCCAGCGGTGACTCTGACTCCCGGCAGGCGTTTGGAGGCCTGAGTTTCAGGCCTAAGGACTCGTGCACCCGCCCTGACCCCTTCTCTGAGCCTCAGTCTCCGCACCTGTGCAATGGACTGGTGGTACTGATTCCCTCAGGTCCCTTTTTCGATAGTCCGGAAGCCAGGAGGGCTGGGGTTATTTACTTTCTGCTCCGTGGGAGGCCTGTTTCTCTTATTTCCCCAGGCCCCGGGGGCTGGCTGGGTGCCCTCCTTGGGAAGCTGTACAGTGGGTGATGCTGGGATTAGAACAAGTCCTATCCATTTGGGGACAAGGGAAAAAACAGAAGCAGCTGAGTGTAATGGTGAAGACCGGGAGTCAGCTGTGGGTGTGGAGGGCCCTCTAGTGACTTTGAAGATGGGGGCTTCACCTCTCTGGGCCACAGTTTTTCAGTCTGAAAAATGGCCTTAGCAGTCCCTCCCTCCCAGCATGGATGTGAGTGTCCCAGGCATTCCACGTGAACATGCTCACTAAAGGCAAGTCATTCTTGGTGTAACGTGGTTAGTATTGCAGCTGTGCAGCATGTGACATTAGGCAAATCTCGGAGCCTCCGTGTTCCCTTCTGTCAATCGCGTCGCACCAGTCTGCCTCCCAGGGTGGCTGCTGCCTTGGGGCTTGGCCCGTCACAGCGCTCTGGGAACAGATTCTGTTGTTTGTCCTTGCCCTGGTTGTTGGTTCTCTGGAGGAGCCCAGCCCCAGACAGTCTCTTGGAAGCCCACACGCCCATGTTTACTAGAAAGCACAGTGTCCCGTTGAGGATTTGCGCTCCAGAGAGGGTTTGCTGCTCCGTGTTCGAAGCCCTGCCGTGGACCCCAGCCCTAGTGGGGATGCTAGCAGCCTGGAGTTCATTGGCCAGCCCCTGTCCATTCAGAAGGTAGGGAATTCTCCCCAGTGTTGGTATGGCAACCACTTTATCTCCCACATCTGGGAAGAACCTGATCTGCCAGTTTCCTGCTACTTTGGGGCCCTAGCACCTGACCTGGCCAGGCCTGCAGAGCCTGGGGTATGGGGAAGCTTGGTCCCTGTGGCCTCTTTTCTCCTGGGGGTGGGCAGGCCCACTGGTTCGCCCATACTGGAGTGGGAGCCAGCGCTCAGGCCCCCGCCTCCAGAGTGGGGGAGGGAGCTGGGAGCTTTATAAATAGAGGCTTTCTCTGGCCCTGCACGCCCACCCCCTGCTGCTGCCATCTTGCAGGGAGCAGCCTCTGAAGCCTGGGCCCTTCCTCTTGGCAGGGATGGGGCAGGGTGGCAGCCAGAAGAGAGAAGGGCTTGAAATGTGACCTGGGCAGGAGAGCACACTCAGGGGACCCTCCTGAGGCCAGTCTGCCCTGGGGTAGGAGTCAGCCAGGAGGGATGGGGTGGTTTATTATTAATGTGTGGGCAGCTCCTCTGCGTAGGTGCCACCTACCTACGCACGACATGCTGGGTAAGTGCTCAGCCCCTCCATGTGTTGAGGACACTTCTAGGAGCCTCACCTCATCCCCATCCGGTAGGGAACTGGACCTTGGCCCTGGGATAAGAATCCGGAGGCCAAATCCCTTTTGCATGGGAGATTCTAGGATGGCTTCTCAGTCCCCGAACTGTGCCTTGAAGGTCAGGAGGGGTTTGCCGAGTTGGTCCAGGTGATGGGAACAGCCCAGCTAAGGGCACCGAGACAGGAAAACCTAAGGCATGTTTGGGTAAGATGCCAGTGGGGGTGGGAGTGGGCAGTGGAAGTGCTAGTAGTAATGCTGTTGGTAGTAATTGCAGTATTACTAATAGCAGTGGTACGAGTAATGATAATAAAAGCCAGGGAGGCTGTGGCATCGTTCTCATCCGAGCCAGGCAGGCAGCGGTGAACGTGGGAAGGATGCCCAAGATGTTGGAAAGCCCGGTAGGACTTTGAACCTGGGTGGGTGTGTGGTGTGAGGGACTGGTGGCCAGGTGGCACGGCGGGGAGTGCTGCCATTAACCTTGGTAAGAAGGGGAGATGCTGAGGTGCACACTGAGGGTGACACAATCACCTGAATCATAGTGGCTGGTGCCATCAGGGTAAGGATGTCCCTAGGTGGTTCCTGAGAGCCAAGGAGGGACCTGAGGGAGACCTTTTATTAATGACGATGATGACGTCAGCTAACGTTGATCAGGCCTATACTGTGTGCTGACCACGAAACTAAGCACCTTCCAAATATTCTGTGAGATAGGTCCTGTTATCCCCATCCTCCGGGGGGAAACTGAGGACCAGAGAGGTGACTTTGCCTCTGACCCTCGATTTTCTCATCTGCAAAGGGGGTAATGCTAACCCCTGAAGTGTCTGGGTGAGGTGAGGCCTCTTCAGGGCCTGGCTTGGGGAGGCCCCAGCTTGGGGAATGTGACGAAGAAGAGGAGTCGGGAGACCGGGAGGAGGCCAGGAGCAGCTGGTTCCCAGGTGAGGAGCCGCAGGCTCTAACCCTGGCCCACCCAGCTCTGCAGAGGGAAACCCAAGACCCCATGCATAATTGATGGCTGCCGAGCTGGAGCAGCCCGACAGGGCAGCCTGACCACCGGAGGTGCCTCCTGCCCCTTGCAGCTGGACCTGTCCTTGGCCTCTGGATGCCTCACCGCTGCCTAGTCATCTGGGAAGGGTCTCCAGACCCCCAGCCTATGTGACTCCAGCACAGCTTGCCTCTTACTCAGTCTCAGCGGCATCTTCTGTGAAATGGGAAACTTGGCCGGCCTGAGGGCAGTGTCTGTTGTTGTCAGGGCTGATCTACTCCTGCAGGTCTTCACCCCTGTGCTGTTTGCCTGTGACCTCCCCTTGGCTGGACGGGGCCTTTGAGATCAGAGAGGCCAGGACTTGGGCGGGTCTCTGGTTTTTCTTAGGTGGCCCCCATGGTTTCTGCCAGCTCTGAAGGGGGACCCTTGTGACATCCTGGTCCTTTCCTGGCCTTGGGGCAGGGCTGCCGAGCTTTCTGGGCCCTGGGTGTGCCCAGCAGTTGGCTCTGATGAGCTGGCGCTGTTCCCCATCTACCACTCCAGGCAACCGGAGGCCAGCCATGTGGCCATCCTCCCCCCCCCCTCCGCATTCCCCTTCCTTCCCAGCCATCTCTCTGGGCATCAGCTCTTAACAGCATCAGCTCTTACACTGAGCACTGCCTGCCTGCCAGATCCTAGCCTTCATGTCTTATCCACATCTTTTTTATTTCATTCTTACAACCTATGAGGGAGATGCTACTACTTATTATTACCATTTTCAGCTTAGGAAACTGATGCTCAGAGAGGCAAAGCCACTTGCCCAAGGTCACACAGCTCATCAGACTGAGACTTGAATCAAGTCCCTCTGATTCTGGAACCTGGGTTCCTCTGACTCCCTCCCTTGGTATCCCCTTCCCGTGGCTCCGAGCTGCCCCTGGAACATCCTGATAACCCCAGACCTTGCTCTGTGCCCCTTTTGTTCCCTGAGCACTTGTAACCAAGTGCTTTCCTTCAGAGTTGGGCTGGGGGGACCCTTAGTGGTAGGCTCCCAAGGGTTCCTTACACCCTAAGCTGTGTGTCTGATTTTGATGTGCTTTTTTGGGGAGAGGGAGTCTGTATCTTTCATTGGATTTCCAAAAGGAGCCATGATCCCCAAACTCTGGTCCAACCACCTCATTTCACAGAGGAACAAACTGAGGCCCAGGGCAAGGTTGCACCTTGATCAAGGTCACAGAGCAGGTCAGGGGCAGAGCAAGTTTCTTGACCTTGGGGCCTGAGTTCCAGCCAGGTGGGAGGAGTAGATGGGCGGGGCAGGGGTGCTCCTCCCGTCCCCCTTTCTGAGCCCTCCGCCCTGGGTGCTCTCCCCACAGTTCACAGAGGAGAAATTCGGCCAGGCCGAGAAGACCGAGCTTGATGCCCAGTTTGAGAACCTTCTGGCCCGGGCAGACAGCACCAAGAACTGGACGGAGAAAATCCTGAGGCAGACAGAGGTGTTGCTGCAACCCAACCCCAGTGAGTGGACACAGGCCGGCCCCGGGCTTGGGGCGGGAAGCAGCGGGCAGGAGCCCCAGCTGCTGAGACCGTGCAGGTGGGCCTGGGCGGCAGGTGGGATTTGGGTTAGACTGTTGGGGCTTAAGGCTGCTGTTTTGGGGGGGTCCCACTTAAAGAAAACAGCAGACTCAGTGTCGGGCTCCAGGATGCGCTCTCTGGGACAGTGGAAATGCTAAGTGTCGCACAGAGGAGTTGAAGAAATGCCTGGACACTAAAACACAGTTGGGAGAAGAGGCAGGAGAAACGGGAGCCAGGTCACTGGAGGGAAGGCAGCGAGGCTCAGGGATGAAAGAGGACTTGCCGAGAGTCACAGGCAGCGTGGTGCAGGCAAACGCAGCTGCAGGAGAACCTGTGGGAAGAGAGGGGCTGGCTGGCCTGGGGTCGGGGGGCTTGTCTGCCTGTATGTCTGCTGTTAGCTGAGTGAGTGTGCTGAGAGCTTTCTGGGGCCAGGGCAGGGCATTGCTCGCGTGTGTGTTGTGCCCTGTAAATCCATAGTGTAAGGAGGGAGAAGTTGTGGGGCGGGAAGGGGTGGCACTTGCCTTCAGCTGTGTGACCTCGGGCAGGCATTTCACGTGTCTGAGCCGTGGCTTCTTCCTCTCTAGAGTGAGGGCTTCGCGGGGTCAAGTGCCAGTCTCACACAGTTGAGAATCAACAAGAGAGTATTCTGGAAGTCACCAGGCTGGACGCCCCTGTGGGCAGGCCCTGGTCTGGATCTGTTTCTGTCACCACGGCTTTCACCCTTGGGCTCCTACCGAAGAGCCCTGTGGCTTTGGCTGCCGTCTCCCCGCAGGTGCCCGAGTGGAGGAGTTCCTGTATGAGAAGCTGGACAGGAAGGTGCCCTCGAGGGTCACCAACGGGGAACTGCTGGCTCAGTACATGGCAGAGGCGGCCAGTGAGCTGGGGCCCACCACGCCCTACGGTGAGCCAGTCCCCACAGCCAGGGTCGGGGGTCACGGTCTCTGGCACGAATCTTCTTCCCTCCCTTCTCTCCTTCCTTTCTCTGTTTTTTAATTTGCACACATGATACCTGGATTCATTCTGCTTGTAAACACCTCAATCAATGGAGATGAAAATAGAGTAAAAAATAGAAGCCTCCCGGGACTTCCCCGGTGGTCCAGTGCTTAAGACTGCGCTCCCAGTGCTGCGGGCATGGGTTTGATCCCCGGTCAGGGAACTAAGATCCCGCATGCCGCACAGTGCAGCCAAAAAACAAACAAAAAAATTTGAAACCTCCCTTACCCAGGTTTGGTTTGTGTGTATTTTTCAATGGGATCATGTTATGCGTACTGTTCTACCACCTGATTTGTAAACTTGGCATTGTACTACAGGTAATCTGTTCATAGCACTTATAGAGTCACCTCAATCTTTATTTTTTAAGTTTTATCTAGGTACAGTTTTTACAGTATAAAGTACACCTGTTTTAAGTGTGTAATTTGATGATTTTTAGTGAATTTACAGAATTGAACAAACATCCCCCAATCCAATTTGTGTTTTTGACATTTTATTTAATTAATTTTTTAATTGAAGTATAGTTGATTTACAATATCGTGTTAGTTTCAAGTGTACAGCACAGTGATTCAGTTATACACACACACACACACAACATAAATATATATTCCTTTTCAAATTCTTCACTTTTAGGTTATCACAAAATATTGAGTGTAGTTCCCAGTGCTATACAGTGGGTCTTGTTGGTTATCTATTTTATATACAGTAGTGTGTATATGTTAATCCCAACCTCCTAATTTATCCCTCCTCCCACCCCCCCTTTCCCCTTTGGTAACCATAAGTTTGTTTTCTGTGTCTCTGAGTCTGTTTCTGTCTTGTAAATTAGTTCATTTGTATCATTGTTTAAGATTCCACATATATGTGGTATCATATGATATTTGTGTTTCTCTGTCTGGCTTAACTTCACTTAGTATGATAATCTCTAGTTGTGTCCATGTTGCTGTAAATGGCATTATTTCATTCTTTTTTATGGCCGAGTAATATTCCACTGTATTTATATACCACATCTTCTTTATCCATTCACCTGTTGATCCACATTTAGGTTGCCTCAATGTCTTGGCTATTGTGAATAGTGCTGCAATGAACATTGGGGTGCATATAGCTTTTCCAATTATGGTTTTCTCTGGATATATACCCAGGAGTGGGATTGCAGGATCATATGGTAGCTCTGTTTTTACTTTTTAAAGGAACCTCCATACTGTTCTCCATTGTGGCTGCACCAGTTTACATTCCCACCAACCGTGTAGGAGGGTTCCCTTTTCTGCACACCCTCTCCAGCATTTATTATATGTAGACTTTTTGATGATAGACATTCTGACTGGTGTGAGGAGATACCTCACTGTAGTTTTGATTTGCATTTCTGTAAAAATTAGCGATGTTGAGCATCTTTTCATGTACCATTTGGCCATCTATATGTCTTCTTTGGAGAAGTGTCTATTTAGATCTTCTGCCCATTTTTTGATTGGGTTGCTTGTTTTTTTGATATTGAGCTGTATGAGCTGTTTGTATATTTTGGAGATTAATCCCTTGTCAGTTGCATCGTTTGCAAATATTTTCTCCCATCTTGTAGGTTGTCTTTTCGTTTTGTTTCCTTTGGTTTTGTTTCCTTTGCTAAGCAAAAGCTTTTAAGTTTAATTCCCATTTGTTTATTTTTGTTCTTGTTTCCATTACTCTAAGAGACGGATCCAAAAAGATACTGCTGCAATTTATGTCAAAGAGTTTTCCTCTAGGAGTTTTTGTTTGTTTGTTTGTTTGTTTTTTATATATATTTTTGGCTGCGTTGGGTCTTCGTTGTTGTGCGCAGGCTTTCTCCAGTTGTGGTGAGCAGGGGCCACTCTTCCTTCCGGTGCACAGGCTTATCATTGCAGTGGCTTCTCTTGTTGTGGAGCATGGGCTCTAGGTACACAGGCTTCAGTAGTTGTGGCACACAGGCTCAGTAGTTGTAGCTTGTGGGCTCTAGAGCACAGGCTCAGTGGCTGTGGCACGTGGGCTTAGTTGCTCCGCGGCATGTGGGATCATCCCAGACCAGGGCTCGAACCCGTGTCTCCTGCATTGGCAGGCAGATTCTTAACCACTATGCCACCAGGGAAGTCCCCCTCTAGGAGTTTTATAATATCTGGTCTTACATTTAGGTCTTTAATCCATTTTAAGTTTATTTTTGTGCATGGTGTTAGAGAATTTCTAATTTCATTCTTTTAATTTAGCTGTCCAGTTTGCTCAGCACCACTTATTGAAGAGATTGTCTTTTCTCCATTGTATATTCTTGCCTCCATTGTCCTAGAGTAATTGACTGTAGGTGCATGGGTTTATTTCTAGGCTTTCTGTCCTGTTCCATTGGTCTATATTTCTGTTTTTGTGCCAGTACCATACTGTTTTGATTACTGTAGCTTTGTAGTATAGTCTGAAGTCAGGGAACCTGATTCCTCCAGCTCCATTTTTCTTTCTCAAGATTGCTTTGGCTATTCAGGGTCTTTGTGTTTCCATACAAATTTAAAAATTTTTTGTTCTAGTTCTGTGAAAAATGCCATTGGTAATTTGATAAGGATTGCGCTGAATCTGTAGATTGCCTTGGATAGTATAGTCATTTTGAGAATACTGATTCTTCCAATCCAAGAACACAGTATATCTTTCCATCTGTTTGTGTCATCTTTGGGTGTTTTTTTTTTTGGCTGTGCCACGTGGCTTGTGGGATCTTAGTTCCTAACCACTGGACCACCAGGGAATTCCCTCATCTTCCATTTCTTTCATCAGCATCTTATAATTTTCAGAGTACAGTTCTTTTGCTTCCTTAGATAGCTTTTTTTTTTAAAAAATAAATTTATTTATCTTTTTTTTTTGGCTGCATTGGGTCTTTGCTGTTGTGCACAGGCTTCCTCTAGTTGTGGCTGCTCTTCATTGTGATGGCTTCTCTTGTTGCGGAGCACGGGCTCCAGGCACGCGGGCTTCGTTAGTTGTGGCACGTGGGCTCAGTAGTTGTGGCTCGTGGGCTCCAGAGCGTAGGCTCAGCAGTTATGGCGCACAGGCTTAGTTGTTCCGCGGCATGTGGGATCTTCCCAGACCAGAGCTCGAACCCATGTCCCCTGCATTAGCAGGTGGATTCCTAACCACTGCGCCACCAGGAAAGTCCTCCTTAGGTAGTTTTATTCCTAGGTATTTTTATTCTTTTTAATTTCTCTCTCTGGTCTTTCATTGTTAGTGTATAGAAATGCAACAGATTTCTGTTTATTAATTTTGTATCCTGCAACTTTATCGAATTCACTGATTAGCTCTAGTAGTTTTCTGGTGGCATCTTTAGGATTTTCTATGTACAGTATCACGTCATCTGCAAACAGTGAGAGTTTTACTTCTTCTTTTCCAATTTGGATTCTTTTATTTCTTTTTCTTCTCTGATTGCTGTGGCTAGGACTTCCAAAACTATGTTAAATAAAAGTGGCATGAGTGGACATCTTTTGTCTTGTTCCTGATCTTAGAGAAAATGCTTTTAGTTTGTTACCATTGAGTATGATGTTAGCTGTGGGTTTGTCATATATGGCCTTTATTATGTTGAGGTAGTTTCCCTCTATGCCCACTTTCTGGAGTGTTTTTATCATAAATGGATGTTGAATTTTATCAAAAGCTTTTTCTGCATCTATTGAGATGATCATATGGTTTTTATTCTTCAATTTGTTAATGTGGTATATCACACTGATTGTTTTACGGACATTGAAAAATCCTTACAGGGACTTCCCTGGTGGTCCAGTGGGTAGGACTCCACGCTCCCAATGCAGGGTGCCCAGGTTCGATCCCTGGTCAAGGAACTAGATCCTGCATGCATGCCGCAACTAAGAGTCCGCATGCTGCAACTAAGAAGTCCACACACTACAACTAAGGAGCCCACACATTGCAACTAAGAGCCCACGTGCTGCAACTAAGACCTGGCGCAGCCAATATAAATAAATAAATATTAAAAAAAAAAGGAAGAAAAATCCCACTTGGTAATGGTGTATGATCCTTTTAATGTATTATTGGATTCAATTTGCTAGTATTTTGTTGAGGATTTTTGTGTCTATGCTCTTCAGTGATATCGGCCTGTAATTTTCTTTTTTGTGTGGTATCTTTGTCGGTATTTGGTATCAGGGTGATGGTGGTCTCGTAGAATGAGTTTGGTTCCTGCCTCTGCAATTTTTGGAATAGTTTCAGAAGGATAGGTGTTAACTCTTCTTTAAACATTTGATAGAATTTTCCTGTGAAGCCATCTGGTCCATCTGGACTTTTGTTTGTTGGAAGTTTTTAAATCAGAAGTTGTATTTCAGTACTTGTAATTGGTCTGTTCATATTTCCTCTTTCTTCCTGGTTCAGTCTTGGGAGATTTTTAAGAATTTGTACGTTTCTTCTAGGTTGTCCATTTTAGTAGCATATAGTTGCTTGTAGTAGTTTCTTACAGTCCTTTGTACTTCTGTGGTGTTGGTTGTAGCTTCTTCCTTTTCATTTCTAATATTACTGATTTGGGTCCTCTCCCTTTTTTTCTTGATGAGCCTGGCTAAAGACTTATCAATTTTGTTTATCTTTTCAGAGAACCAGCTTTTAGTTTCATCTATCTTTTCTGTTGTTTTCTTAGTCTCTAATTTATTTATTTATGCTCTGTTCTTTATGATTTCTTTCCTACTAACTTTAGGTTTGTTTGTTCTTCATTTTCTAGTTGCTTTAGGTGTAAGGTTTGGTTGTTTATTTGAGATTTTTCTTGTTTCCTGAGGTAAGCTTGTATCACTACAAACTTGCCTCTTAGAACTGCTTTTGCTGTGTCCCATAGGTTTTGGCATAGTGTTTTCATTTCCCTCTAGGTATTTTTAATTTCATCTTTGATTTCTTTTTTTATTAATTAATTAATTAATTTATTTATTTGTCTGCGCTAGGTCCTAGTTGCGGCATGCG